GGGGGGGCACAGCGCTGTCTTTGGTCCAGGTGATGATCGCCGGGGGGTGGGCGTCCCAACTGCAGCTCAGTGTGACAGGCTCGCCCACTCGGACCGAGAGGCTGGAGGGGCTGCTTTCAGCATTCCTAGGGCCATCTGTAAGAAAATCACAGAACCCCCTCCCCTTAAAAACCTTTTTCAGAGAGCAGCTTAAACTAAAGGTTAGGACTCCAAGGGTCTGGGGCTCAAGTCATTACTGTGCCAACCATCCCTGGGAAAGGCTCTTGATCCTGACCACCGATCCAATATGAACAGTACCAGGCCTGCTGGGATGTGACCAGCTTCCCAAACAGGGGGCCGTCTCGTATTCTGTCTGCTCATGCTGCTGCAGAGACCTACACAGGCATAAACTGTTTCCTTCTAAAGCTTAATACAGGGAGGCTGTACAAGAGACTCCTCTCTGTCCTCCATGTCACTCCCCATTCTAATATCACAGTCTATATTAATAACTCTGCCAAGGCAGGTTTCAACAGAGATTGTGCTAGGATCCTTCTAGCAGAGGAACACCAGAGGCTTTTTTGGGGACATCTAAGGATGTGCAATGGTTAGTACTCAAATGTAATTATCATCTCTCTCACTCATGTTGGGATCTGCAACAGAAGGAGGTGGCTGTCCCGCCTGCCTGGGATTTGGGTTTTGGGTTTTGGGTTTTGGGTTTTGAGCTGGCCCGAACTATTTTGGGATCTAAGAGTGACACCAGGTTACAGGCCCATGTACTGTAACTACTGTACCAGCCCTGGCCAGTCTTGCGTGTTATCTGAGAAAACACAGTGGTGCACTGAAAAGTAACACCAGGCCTTTCAAACAGTGATTTAAAAATACAACGATTACCACCTTCTTGTAAAAAGTATCATTTTAAAACATGATTTATTACAGGAAAAAGAGCCAGGGGAAGTTTTTTTTTTTTTTTCCTCCTGCCTCCTGAAAGGTTGTCAGGAATGATGGCTAACAATAGCACTTGTGTATTAGGGAAGAGATAAGGACACTGTACAGAGTGTACTATTTAATTCAGAACACTGTGGAGCCTAATAAGGGCTAACCTCGTTCACCTCTCCTCTCAGAGGACAGGGTCTCTGCCTTGGAATCACATGCTCTGTGTGACTGTGGCTTGCTCTGGCCTGCACCTCAGCCCTTCACATATAAAAGCTACAGCAGCTAACACAGACCCTTGTCCACAGGGGTGTCTGGCCAGTGTGTCCAGCTTGCTGGGGAGAACTTTACAGTATATGGAACAACAGTTTAACTGTTCATTCTTCTTTCCTCTGCTCTTTCTCGCTCTTCCCTTGCCCATAAACAGTCCAAATATCAGGAACCTCCCTGCTGAAGGAATCATCTTGCCCTTGAGGATCACATCCTCCCTGGCCAGAGCAAGGCTCTGCAGCAGGGGAACAGGCAGGTCATGGCCACTACACCTCAGCACAGCCTCAGTGAAGGCTGTAATTTGCTAGAAGATCTGGATGGTAAACAGGATGAAGATATTTTAGCACCCTGTAGAAAACACAGCCTGTTATGTTCAAGCTGCTCTCGCAGAGGCAATTGTTTAAGTAACAACATGTTATTTAATGGAGGTTCCTAATATTTTGGCCAGTGTGTGTGTGCAGCTGTAGTTAGTCCTACTGTAGATTGAGGAGTGAACTGGCCACAACCCCCCCCTGAACTCTGGTGTGGCTTGAACTCTGTGCTCTGATCGCAGAATGACTTTGGTAAACAGGACACTTCTCTCAGCACATTAGGACATTTATGCTTCTACTACATTGAGGGGAAACGTTTAACTCTTAACCGGAGGGTCTGTACTGTGCCCACTATTCCTGGGAAGGGCTCTCGCCCCTGTGGACCACCTTCCCAATCAGGGGTCCGTCTCCCACTCCTTCTTAAAGGGGAACTGCAACATTATTTGTATATTTTGGGGGTTAAAAAAAGAATCAGCATTGATGAGGGCATTTCAAATCACAATGAAAGCAAAATGTACACAGGAAAGTGCAACACCTCCAATTTACATCGCAAAATAGACCCAATTTCCAGGCATGCGCTGCGCCATATTCTGCGATTCAGAACGAGGCAGCAAAACATCCAGTGAGGTGAAGCGGCCCTGTGGTATCGAAAGCCAGCAGGTTTGGGAAGACGTCTCTTTGAATCCCACAGAAACATTGCCCTCGACCTCGAGACCGTTTTGCCAACAAATACTTCTGTGGTCAAACGTCTGCTGTGCAACCTGTATTCATTCATTCCCTCGGTCGGCACATCACATTAGTCATTCCAGGGACTAGTGAGCAGGAAGGGCGGCTTCACGTCCCAATTCTCGTGCACTCTCGCGCTCGCTCCTGGAGAGACCAGGAGCTTGCAACAAAATGTTCTGCTAATTTTGACATACCGTCAATTCAATTATTGCGTTACCGAGATTTAATAACTGCTCTGAGAAATTCAGACTTCAGTTCCCTTGAATGCTGTAGAGACCTAATCGGCTCCCTTGTAATGCCGAGTACAGCGTTGCACCCTGGTCTCCTCTGCAGTCATCGCTAAGCAGCCCTCACTGCCCGGTGTACTCACACAGCACGTCTATGCTGAGCCCCCGCCTGACCTGCCCCGCCTCATTCCGGAGGACACAGCTGTAGTTGCCACTGTCCTCCACCCGCAGCTGTTGGATGTCAACCTGCAGCCGTCCTGGGCTCCGGGTCTGTCTCCATCGCTGTGGGAGCTGCCACCCTTCGGTGCCTTCCTTCTCCCAGGAGATGAGCAGGGAGGGCTCGGGCTGGGCGCGGCAGGAAAAGGAGGCCGAGCGCC